TAAGACATTCCCGGAGACCTACTCTGCGTCCTGTAGACACTTGGGGACACGGCAGTGAACAGGCCAGCTCAGGGAGCCCGAGTCTGCTGGGGCAGAAGGACAAGCCCAGGGCCACCAGGATATGCTGTGGTGCTCGTGGTGGCCATGCCCAGGTGCTGATGGGACCTCCGGGGGGGGGGGGGTCCCCTAGTCCAGCTGGAGGTATCAGGGAAGGCAGGGAGGGAGTAGCATCGAAGAGAGGCCCTCGGGTCCCCCAGCAGGCTGCCCCCCCTTGCCTGCCACACGTTAACCCTGTGAGCCCTGCCACCCATCCTTACCACTGGGGACGGCTGGCTCAGCTGGCTCCTTCTGTGACGCCCTGTCTGTGTCATTACCCTGACCACATGGGGCTGTGTAGCTGGGCTGAACTTGTGGCTGCCCCCCCCCATCCAGGGGAGAGTCTAGAGCCCTCACCAAGCTCCAGGGTAGGGGGCCCAGCCTGGCCCAAGTGGCCAGAGACCCCCAAGCCATGGCTGCCATCCCTTGGCAGGAAAGGCTGGGTCTGAGGCACCTAGGGTGGCTCAGGAAAAAGCCCCTCAGGAACAAGGGGTAGAGTAGGAGCTGTAGACTCTCAGGGCCACAGAGACACTGCAGCCAGGCCAGGTTTGAGACAAGGGACTCTGGTCACGTGCAGGGGCGGGTCTACGCCCCCCCCCCCCCCCCCCCCGCACTCGCAGTCACAACACTAAAGAACCCTCAGCGCAGGCCCAGGTGAGGTCTGTTGTGGGCTGCCAGCCGGCAGGCTCCAGGAGCGGGCCAAGGGCATGGGTGACAGCTGCCCGGCCTGCGGCCTCTGGGGGCTCACCTCCCGCCTCTCTGGGCCCCCAGGCTGACTTAAAGGCCCCACCTTGGGATACAGGTGCAGCGGAGGGGACTTGGAAGGAAGGCAGACTGGGTCTGCAGCTCAGCTCTGCGCCTTTCCCAGTTGTGTGGCCTCCGAGGCTGGGAGCTCCCTTCCTCGTCTGCCAACGGGGGCTGGTGCTAGTTATCTACTGCTGTGTTAACTGGTTGCTTCAGAACTTAGTGGCTTAAGACATCGATAGACCTGTATTCTCTCTCATGGTTCCTGTGAGTCAGGGATTCAGGGGCGGCTTCTTCGCTGGGTAGCTCTGCTCTGTGTCTCCCCTGAGGCTGCAGTCAGGGTGTTGGCTGGTGCTGCACTCATCCAAAGGCCTGACCGGGGCTGGAGGACCTGCTTCCAGAAGGCCACCTCACGTAGCTGTGGGCTGCTCCCAGAGCAAGTGATTCGAGTGGGTGAGGAGGAAGCCCAGTGCGTCCATGACAGTCACACTGCGTCTCCTCCCTGGGACCTCAGAGGTCCCACGGGTCGCCTGGCCTGGGAGGAGACTGTACCCAGGGGTGAGTACCAGGTGAGGTGAGGAGGATTGCACAGGAGCATGGTAGATCCTGGAGGCTGCCTGCCAAATGCCACAACTCGTCTCCTTCCTCCTCTGTAAAACGGGGACCCCTCCCAGCTCTCAGAGGGGTCAGGTGCTCCAAACAAGAGACGTCGAGAAAAGCTGTGGGCGCAGAGCCTAGCCCGTACTCAGCGCAGCCAAAGGGCGGCCCCCATCTGCTCCCACAAATGCTGGAGGCCCCAACCCAGCCTCGTGGAGCGCTGCTGACCGGCCGGGGCCCAGACGGGCTCCTCCTCTCAGTGAATGGGAACCAGTAACAGGCAGGACTCTTTTTATCCGCCCCCTCCTCCTCCTTCTTCTTAAAGGTTTTAAACACCTAATTTATTCCATCCATTAGATAGATTTTGTAGATTTAATCATTTTCACAGTTGGTGGCTCATTGGATACTCAAGATAAACTCCAAACGAAAGTATAATGGTGAGGACAAATGAGTTTTCACACCACAATGGCAGAAACCTGCTTGGGAAGAGGGTTTAAGAGGAACAAAAATACACACAGATGTAATTTTTTTCCCCGGCAGCTGCTTTTGCTGACTATAGTAGGTTACCACAGTTAATTTCACCAGTTTTGTTCATCTGTAAAATTGCATAAAAGTGACATTTTTGTGCTCATTATAGCAACTGCTGATTTATGGCTGGTAAATGAAGAGCTGGTCCCTTTTTTGCGGGACTCTCCGAGCGGCGCTAAGTGCCCATGAAATTGCTTGTATAATGTAGTTTAAATCCAATCTCGGAGAAAGATTCCCCCGTTGGCCAAAGTGACATTTCCATTCTCCACACCGAGTTTATTTTAGGCCACTTGGGGGGGGGCTGCCCCAGGCAGGGTCAGGATGGAGGCCTGTGGCGTGACAGGGGTCAGCTCCACCTGCCCAGCCCGGATGGAGGGGCACTGGCCCAGTCTCTTTGGGATGCTGAGGGCTGCCTACCTCTTCCCTCCCTGCTGCCCTGCCCAGGTCAGACCACATTCCTGCACCTCAGGGCAGAGCGAGATGACCTTTCTAACACACATGCCTGCCCCTACCCCTCCCCTGCATAACACCTGGGACAGGGCTTCTCCAACACTCTTGTGGAGGAGGCAGTCCTGTGCACTGTAGGATGTCCCGGGGCATCCCTGGCCACTACCCACTGGACACCAGTCGCTGGGGTGGAGGCTTCCCCAACCCAAGTGTGAGTGCCAAATGCATCACCAGACTGGTCAATGTGCCCTGGGGTTGGGGGGAGCGGAGAACCACTGCCCTACAGTGAAGAGGCCCCTCTGCACCAGCCCGATGCCCTCCCAGGCCGCCTCTCACGCACGATTGTCTGCCCTGGGCTTCTGCTCTCATTCTGAATTACTTACACTTCCCCCTCGGGACAGGCTTCCTCACCTCTGGACCTTTGCCTGTGCTGTTTCTTCTGCCTGAAATCTGTTTCTCTGCTCCCTCCTCACCCCTTTCAAGATCATTGCCTTAACTGGGATGCTCTTTCTTCTAGAAAGCTGTCTCGCTTTCCAGAGTCTGCCTGAGTGAGGCCCCCCTGCATCCCAAAATGCCTTGCCTCCCTATCACAGCACATACCTTGCTCAGATTGGCTGTGAGCCCAACAAGGGGATTGGGGGTGAGCCTCGGGAAGGATGGGATGTGGGGTGAAGCCTTCCAACGGATGGGGAGGAGGCCTGAGGAAGGTGGTGGGGTCAGCACTCCACCCCAGCCACCATGCCAGGCCCACCTGTGCTGGTCAGGAGGAAGGGCAGCCCGAGCCCCTGCCCCTTCCTCCCCAGGAAGGCCCTTATCCCAGGCAGATGCAGAGGGTATTACCACTCCCGCGTAGAGAGCACCTGCTTCCGCTAAAGCCACCCCACCACACACAACTCATTACAACTCACAGCCACCCTGGGAGGCGGTGTCCCTGGCAGCATCACCCCCATTTTACCGATGAGGAAACCGAGGCTCAGAGTGAGGAAGCCTCATTCTCAAGTACCCCCCAAGAGTCACTGGTGGGCCCCAGGGGTGCTCATGGGGCAGGAGGAAGGCAGTGTGCCATGGAGACCTTGAGGGGTCCCCTTGCCCCCTCCCGGACCCAGAGAGGTCACCCCCTCCCAGCACCGACTGCATGCCTCACACCCTCTGCTCAGCCCCTTGGCACAGTCATTCCTCCAAGCCACCCTGCAGGACTGGTACAGTCATGATCCCCATTCCACAGGTGGGGAAACTGAGGCTCAGCCAGGCAAGCCATTTGCCCACAGCCACAAAGCCCCACAAGCAGACAGGATTCTACCCAGCCAGCTGGTTCTAAAGCCCAGGGTCTTCCCAGCTAGCTGATGGAGGCCCCTGCTCCTTTCCCCACCCAGGGACAGTCCTGGGCAGCACCGAGGAATGTCTCAGGCCCAGGGAGGGGCCTGGGATGGGAGACGGGGGGTCCGCCCACAGCAACCCGCCTCCCCCATGGAAGGGGCCAGTTGTGCCACCAAGAGTGGGACAGTCAGCCTGTCACACAAAGTGCACCGTTCAGCGCCATGCTGACAGCGTGCAGAGAAGGCAGTGGTGACAGGCAGACTCGGGGAGGGGCTGGGCAGCCGGGGCCCGAGCACGGGCGTGGGAGCAGCTGGTGGAAGCCAACAGAGCAGCTCCTGCCTGCACCACGTTCCCCCGCTCCAGGCCTTGGGCTCCATTCACGGAGCAGCACGCTTAACCGTCCCGCAGAGTTCGGCAGGCCCTCATCGCCCCATTTTACAGGTGAGGAAAGGGAGGCACAGAGAGGATGATGAAGAAATAGGAGGAATGGCCTCCCAGCGGTGTGGTGTTAAGGCAGGTGACACCAAGCATCACTGAGCATGTGGAGCCCCCAGAACTCCTGTGCTCTGCGGGGGTGGGGGGGAGAGCCTGGCACATTCTCTTTGGCAAACTGCGGGCATTTTCTCCTAGAGCTGCATCTTCACCTGCCCCGAATCCCCCTGCTAGGCATAGTCCCAACAGAAGTCCCTGGATAACGTGGGCATGAGGACATGTGGTGCTAAGTGTATCAGCCCCAACGCCATCAGCAGTAGCAAGGATGAGTACATTGTGATGTCGCGTCCCACACGAGGACCACGGAGCAGTGAGAAAGCACGAACCACGCCCCCCCGCCCCCGGGGGGATCCCACAAGCCACCCTAAGTGGCAGAGGCCGATGCCCGCGGGGTCGCATGGCAGGATTCCATCCTCCCTGTACAGACACTGCCGTCAGACGTCAGGACAGCTGTGCGCTCGGGCGGGGACGCAGGGGGCTCTGGGGGACAGGCAGCGTCCCTTCGCTCGGGCACACGGGTGTTACAGGAGCGCGCTCCGTCCGTGAAAGTTCAGCTTACAAAACGCGTGGCTTCCTTCCCCTACTTGACACCAGATCCGGAGCTTCGGAGCGTAGAAGGAACGAAGTGGAGGAGCCCGGGGCTGGGTGGGGAACCGACGGAGGGAGGGGCAGAGTGAGCCCCGCTCCCCTGCAGCGGGCGGCGGCGGGGCTGCGGCCTCCCGGGTCGGGTCACGGGGGCGGCTCTCACCTGTGCCTTCCTCTCCGACCTGTCCCCGCAGGCGAGACGGCGGCCAGCTCCATGCATTCGTCCCGCTACCCGAGCCCGGCCGAGCTGGACGCCTACGCCGAGAAGGTGGCCAACAGCCCGCTGTCCATCAAGATCTTCCCCACCAACATCCGGGTGCCGCAGCACAAGCACCTCGGCCGCACCGTCAACGGCTATGACATGAGCGGCCAGCGCTACAGCCCGTACCCGCAGCACGCCGCCGGCTACCAGGGCCTGCTGGCCATCGTCAAGGCCGCCGTCTCCTCCTCGGGCCCCGCCGCAGCCGCCGGGCCCGCCAAAAGCGTGCTCAAGAGCGCCGAGGGCAAGCGGACCAAGCTGTCGCCGGCCGCCGTGCAGGTGGGCATCGCGCCCTACCCGGCGCCCAGCACTCTGGGGCCCCTGGCCTACCCCAAGCCCCCCGAGGGGCCCGCCCCGCCGCCCGGCCTGCCCGCGGCCGCCGCCACCGCCGCCTCCGTCATCCCGCTGCCCGGCCGCGGCCTGCCCCTGCCGCCTTCCAACCTGCCCTCCATCCACAGCATCCTCTACCAGCTCAACCAGCAGTGCCAGGCCCCGGGCGCCGCGCCCGCCGCCTGCCAGGCCGTAGCCGGTCCCCGCCCCAGCCCGGCCAAGCACGGCCCCGTGCCCGGCTTCCCCGGCATGGCCTACTCGGCCGCTGCCGGCCTGCCCGACTGCAGGAAGGGCGCCGAGCTGGGCCAGGGGAGCACGGCGGCCTTGACGTTGGCTGGGGCCACCAAGCCTGCAGGGTACGCGGACGGGGGCCTGGATTACCTGCTGTGGCCGCAGAAGCCGCCCCCACCGCCACCCCAGCCGCTGCGGGCCTACAGTGGCGGCACGGTGGCCAGCAAGTCCCCCGAGGCGTGCGGGGGGCGGGTGTATGAGCGGGCCGGCGGGTCGCCCCTCAACTGCGGCATGGGGCTGCCCACCGGCTTCACCGTGGGCCAGTACTTCGCCGCCCCCTGGAACAGCGTGCTGGTGACCCCCACCAGCGACTGCTACAACCCGGCGGCGGCGGCGGCAGTCACCGAGCTGGGGCCGGGGGCGGCCCGGGAGCTGGCGGGGCCCCCCGTGGAGGCCCTCTCGGGCTTGCCCAGCAAGAGCGTGTGCAACACGGCAGCGCTGAGCAGCAGCCTGCAGTCGCTGGAGTATCTCATCAATGACATCCGGCCGCCCTGCATCAAGGAGCAGATGCTGGGCAAGGGCTATGAGACAGTGGCCGTGCCCCGGCTGCTCGACCACCAGCACGCCCACATCCGCCTGCCCGTCTACAGATAAGGCCTGCGCGGCGGCCGCACGGACAGACGGACAGACGGACAGGGTGCCGGGCGGGGAGGCAGGCCGCGGAGCAGGGTGGGCGGTGCCTGGGGGCACCCGGCCTCGCCCCGCGCCCGGGTGCCCGTGGAGGCCCACAGGGAAGCCAGGCTGGCTGCTGCCGTGCAGCCACCTGATGGGGAGTAGCAGGGCGACCTGGCTCCCCCAGGCACCCCCCCCACCATCGGCTGCCCTAGGACACGGGGAGGGCCCAGGGCAGCCGCGGATGGCCACTCCGTTCTCCCTCCAAGCTGGCAGAGGCAGGGAGAGAGAAACCACCTTAAAACAGGAATGGTTCTTTCTGGCTTTCCCAGGAGAGGAGCTCAGGCCAGGGTGGGATAAAGGAGGAAATGTGACGGTCTAGAGTCAGGGTGGGGTCAGAGCAGCCCCCCGGGGGTCAGACATCTCCTCCCCACCCCCCCATGAGCTCCCCGGTCTCCTGGAAAAGGAGCAGAGAAGGGGCATAGGAGGTCACAGGGCCTACAGTGTCCCCCACTGGCCAATCCAGGTGAAGACCACTCTAATAGAGGCTCCAAGGACTACCAGTCCCCCCTGCTCCTCCCTCCTCCTCTAGGTTCTCCTTCCCCTCCTCCCGTTCCTTCCCAACACAGAATTGTACCCCCATCCCCACTCTCTCCAAACCCTGTACTACCACCTTCCCCCTTCTCTCCACATCTTACAGGGCTGCTGGACACAGTTGTACAGGCTGTGCACTGCACAAGGGCACCTCGTCCAAGGAGACACCATTTGCATCTAGACTTGTATATTTATTATGGCAATTTTCCGAATCTTGAGGAAGGGGCGCCATTTTCCCTATTCGCACAAAGGCACCACCAGGGCTAACAGTGGGCCTGCTATCTTAGACACCAGAGGGACCCTACCCTCCCTTCTTCAGGGGTTTCCCTAGGAGCCAGCGAGGAGGCGACCTACTGGTTTTAGTTGGAAGACCCAATCCAACTCCCTTCCTGCAAGCTGCCCTCCAAGGCCTGCCGCGCACCATCAGGGGTCCGGGGGGGAGGCAGGCAGGGATCCCCCCTTCCCCGTTATGTCCCCAAGGCCCGAATTCCCCGAGCCCTGGCCCCTCTGGCACTCCGGAAGCGGTACTGTATCTCTCCAAGGCCTGTTCAAGCACTAAGTGCATTTACAAATCTCTGAGAATGTTTTTTTTTTATACTAAAATTGACCATTATATTCTACTGTGAGAAGTGCAGTCTGCACTATATTGTTTTAAAAACGAAGAGAAAGAAAAAAGAAGGAAAACACAGATGGTGTCTCAGCTGTGGAATTTTGTAGCTCTTGTTTTGTTCTTCCTTCCCTCCCTCCCTTAGGAGTAAAATGGGCCGTCTCCTCCCCTGCTGACCGGGCGCGGAGCCCCGAGGAAGCAGGCCAGGAGCCTCCTGGCACCCACAGCGCTGGGCATTCTGTGGGTCATTTACTTCTCCAGCTCTTTAGGGGTGGACGCTGTCATGTACCCTGTTTGTGTCCGCTGGGTCACAGCCAGCGATGGATCTGCAGAGTGACTGAGGCAGAACCAAGCCCGGGCCCCGTGGCTCGTTCCCTGAATGGTGCGGAGGTGGTCTGGGGATGGTGCCCCCCCCGCATCACTACATTCCTTCCCAGCTTCTCCTCTGTGCCTGACCTCCTCCAAGCTTCCGTGGGGGGCAGTGCGGCTGCGGGCAGGCCAAAGTGGCTGGGCAGCCCCAGCACACACCCACCCCAGGCCTGGGTGCCGGGGAGGGGGCGGATCTGCAGGCGACCACCCAGGATGCTCAGCATTTAGCAGGCACTTCATTTGTGCTGGGCCTTTTCATATAGACCACATCTCCCTGGAGCCTCACCACATCCTTGCAAGGTAATAAGTGTTCCAGGAAGAAACTGAGGCTCAGAGATGTGAAGTGACCTGCCTAAGGTCACACGGCAAGTCTGAAAAATTGGGGTTTGAACCCCATGGCATGGACTCTTTTTCACATCCTGTCTCTGCCTTATCCCCTGGCACGGGAGCCTGCCATCTGGCCTGGGGGGACCTGGAGAGCCCCTAGTTTGACGCAGTCCTCCCCGCCCATGCACAGAGCCCTACCTGAGTGCCAGGTGCCAGGCCCTTCCGAACTAGGTCAATGAACCAAGCATAGCACGCCTCACACCCTGGGGAGCAGCCCAGGGGTTGTGCCGGGTGATGAGCTGACCCAAGTCAGCGCTTCACAAAAGGCCGCCGGGGGTGACCAGAAGTGGTATGTAAGCGGCAGCTGACAAAGCGCTTTTCTGACCCCCCAAAACAGCTTCACACCTGCACCATCAGATGTGTGATGAAATCATCCCCATTTTACAGATGAGAACACAGAACCTGAGAGCAGCCACAAGGACGGTAAGAAGGAGCCAGGTTCTGGCATCAGGACCCACACCCTGGCTCAGGCCGCCTCCAGACCCCCCAGATCTCTCCCGCAGCGTCCACCCTCACACGGAGCTGAAGCCCGCCTGCGGCCCCATAGCAACCCAGGAGGGCCCTGGAGGCAGGCAGCCCAGGAGGCCCAGCCTCCCGCGTGAACTAGAAGCAGGTGGGAATCAAGGCTTTGCTACCTGGAGTGACCCTGAACCAGACAGGGAATTTGAGGATATAACAGCACGGGGCAGAAACTTGGGGGAGGGGCAGAGCAGCGGGGTCTAGAGCCAGGTTTAGGGCTGGGCGGTGGCCTGTGGCCCAGCTGTTCCCACCAACGTGGTCTCTGGGTAGCCCAGGTCCCCATGTCCCGGGCCCACTGCCAGGCCCACCCCCACTGGGGCATCGGGGGAGCGCAAGGAGGCAAGACTGGAGCAACCCTCTAGGCCAGGTTCCCCTCATTTGGAGATGCGGGCTGAAGACGGACCCGCCTCTGCTCCGGGAAAACCTCACCCTCTGTGGGCTGGGTCGGCGGGTCCACACGCAGGACGGCGGGAGCCCGTGGTACAGACAGTCCCGCTGGGGCTCTCGCCCTGTCCTAGCACCAGCTTTGGCCGGGCTCCTCCCCGGGAGCAGGGCTGGCTGACCTCAACAGGCCCTCCAGCGGGCAGCACCCCTGCCCTCCATGTATATAATCACCTTGGACTACCTGCCACATTGGGGGGACAGCGCGGGCGACAACGACATCGCCATCAATGCTACAACGGTCCACGGTCACCGCAGGCAGACCGGTCCCCAGGCTCAGTGCTAAACGGTACCTAGTCCCCTCCTGACCACTCAACACGGCGCAGGTGAGGGCAGTGAGGCCCCCGGAAGGGCAATCATTTTGCCCAAAGTCAGCTGAGGGTGGAGAAGGGAGAAGCAGCTGGGACAGAAGCCGGGCCTGACTCAGAGCCTACCCTTGGCGCCACCACACTTGGCAGAAAACACAGGAACACCCCCCCTCCCCCGGCCCCAAGCCCCAAATACAGCCAATTTGGCTCCAGCGCGGAGCTACAGCCCGGGGTCCCGTGCTCCCCGGGGGCAGGACTTCGTGCTGGGTGAAGGGGCCGAGGGGGAGAATCTGCCATCTGTCTGCCCCCCCACCCCAGGCAGAGCCGCAAGCCTTTCTCTAGGTCTCCTGTGGGGACACGGCTCCTTCTCTCCCTTTAGCCGTCTTGGGCTCACACCGCTTAGAGCTGAGCTGTCTGACGTGGTCGCCACGTGTGGCTGCCACATAACCTCCCCTAGGTGACACCTCCTGTCACTGACAACTGCTAGAAGATCATCACCCCATCTTAGACATCAGAGGGGCGGGAAAGCTTGGGCAAATATCTGAGTGGAGGGGCCGGTGCGGGGGACACTCACCTTTCCGGGGTAGCTCTGTGCTTTCCTGACTCTGCTTTCCTACCCGCCGGCCGTTAGAGCACCTCCCCACTCCTGGAGAGGGCAGGCAGGCAAGGTCAACCCCTGAACTTGCCCGGCAACAGCCAGCGACTTCAACTTCTCAGCTTGGAACCTACACTCTGGCTGCCAGCTGGGCGGGACTCCGCCCCCACATGGGTCCCACGTGCGCACTGTCCCACGTCACACCGCGCCTGCGCCACCCGGGCTGACTTCAAGGGCCCTTGTGGGCCCCACCTGCTCCCTGCGTGGGCCTGGAAGGTGGGGCCCAGCCAGACTGATACACAAGCACATTACAACCACGTGGGGTTGAACATAGGAAACAGGTGGTCAAGTCCCCTAGGGAACAGAGCCTGCTTGGGAGAAGATGCCCCAAGTTAGGCGTGTTATTTCTGTCATCACCTGGTCCAGCTGCTTTTCACCTTGGAAAATGGGTTTCCAGGTTAAAAGAGTTAGAGAAACAGATGCATCCCCCTCCCCCCACCCTAGAGACGCACAAATTATATTAGCACATTAAAGGCTCTGAAAAGTCCTGCAGGCAAGGTACCCTTTTAGCTTTAACCCAGCGTTTCCCTAATATTTTTGATCACCTAAGTTTTTGTTTCTATCCATTAACATGCCAAGGAACAAATACTTCAGGAAATACCGAGTCTTACCTCTTGTGTTGCAATTAGGGAAACTGAGTAAGTTCCTTCTCTCTGGTGATGTGTGACCCTCAGTTTCCCCAGTTGGCGGAGCAAGGACTGGAATCCAACCCTGACCTGGAGTCATAGGGCCTCAGTTCTGGGGCCACCACATCCTAATTGGTCTTTGTTCACCGTGTTGTGCTAGGCCCGAAGGAGGGAAAAGACCCTAAAGGAGAGAGAAGGAAGCCCTCATTTGACAAGGGGGGGTGTACCCTGATTTTGAAAATGACAAAAATGAGGTTCAGAGAGGGAAGGCAACTTGCCTGAGGGCACACAGCAACTAGGTTCTAGACTCTCCAGAGGTAGATCTGGGCCACCTTCTCTCCTTGTTGAGAGGTGAGGGAATTCCTGAGTCTTAGAGCCTCAGGGTGCACCTAATGGGGAGCTCAGCTAGGGGCTCTTCCCGGCCAAGTTGGCTGGTTCCAGGTTCCCTCTCTCCTCTTCTGAGGAGGTCTCTGGGTGTGACTACAGCGGCCCCTGGTGGCCAATCCCCAGGATCAGCAGTCCCACCCTGCATAGGCCAAAGGCTGATCTGTGAGATCAGATGGATGCATCCCCAAATGAGATGGGGGTGGGGGGGTAATAGCAAGCAGGACTCTCTGATGTCACTGAGCACCTAGAGATTCTGAGAAGACTCTCTGCTGGAATCTGGGTACCTGGGTTCCAGTCCCAGCTCCACCGAACCTCCCCTGTCGTCACCTGTTAGAACCCATTACAGCCTGTTATGGTGGAGAAATGGATGTGCACACGCTTTGGAACGGCCAAAACACTAGGTAAAAAAAATCCTGCCAAATCTCTAGAAGGGTTCTCCTCCTAAGACAGAGGGGGGAAATCCTAACTCCACTGCATCTAGGCTGTGTGTTCTTAGGCAAGTGTGTTTACTTCGCTGGGGCTCACTTTCTCCATCTGTAAATAGGGTTCAAAATGTATTCTTGTATCTCCACGATTTGGGCAAGGTATCAGGAAACCCTGACTCATTGGTTTAAATGAGAAAGAAAAATTTTTATCTCCAACAATCATAAGAAGCCCTAAGGTAGGGCGGCCCCAGGGTCAGTTAATTCAACAGCTCAATGGTATCATCAAAGACCCCTTTCCATCTTTCCATTCTACCAAGCGCCTTCATGGTCACAAAATGGCTGCTGCAGTTCCAGGCATCACATCACAGACCTGGCAGTGCCCAGCAAAGACAGTGTCTTCCTAGATTGCTCTTATTTTCCCAGAATCCCCCCTCCTTCAGCAGACTTCCCCTTTTGTCTCATAGGTCAGAACTCACAGGTTCACGTGGCAATTCCTCGACCAATCCCTAGTAAGGGAAATAGAGTCACAGTGGTTGGCTCAGGGAAGCCCCTGACTGTGGAGCAGAGTGGAGAACTGTGAACAAAACAGGTGCTGTGAAGAAGGAAGAGGGGACATGGCTTCTGGAGAGGCCTCAAACACCCATCCTTCAGTTCCCACACGTGGTTCCTGAGACGCAAGCACCGAACGCTGAGCACAGTGCCTACCATTCCACGTTCACCTGCTTCCTCCTCTCCGTGATTCCCTCCAAGAAGAGAAGATGCCCAGCCCATCCTCCCTCCCTGGGCTTGGGTCTCTGTGGCCAGTGCCCTTTCCATCCTGTCCTCTGCCTCCACCACCACCCCTCCTTTTGCTTCATCTCATAAGCCTGGGGTGAACGAAGATCTCCCCATTGCCCACGATGGCTTTGGGCTCCTAAAAATGAAAAGGTAGTGGGTGCTTGATTCTCATGCCAATGCTTTCGCCAGGGAGTCAACAATTAATAACAGTATGAACAGAGGCCCAGAGTCTTTAACGGCTCCGTCCAAACCACCGAAATGATCAGAATACACATCTTGCAGGCGAGGTGTGGAGGCTGCCGGCTACGACGTTATTACATTTGGAAATGTCAGGAGTGTGCATTCCGGGGAGATGAACAGTGTGGTTGAAAATGGCTTTTGATTTTTAAAAAATCCCCAGCATTCATCTAAAACAATAATAACAGCTAATAATAACAGGGCATGTAATAATAAAGTATTCATAGGCATAAGAGGTAATTGTTCAATTAAGATCTGAGAGTTTCTGAGACTGTCTTTTCTGATGGGGT